GTAGCTTATTCGACTACCTGCTTTCGATTTCGGTTGTTTGTTATTTGCTTTGTGATTTGGTTAAGGTGGAATGGATTTATATTGGCTTTCATTTTCGGATTTGTGTATTTTCTTGGATCGGTTTTGTTGATTTGGTTGGTATTTCTTTATACATATTTAGACTCTGGCTTTGATTTTGGATTTTGTTTATTTAGAATTGGTTTTCGTGGTTTTAGGTTGTTTAACTATATTTCAAAAGAATATTAATAGTATAGATAGTGTATACGGTACTACTGCTTTCGATTTCGGTTTTCTACGATTTGTTTTGTGATCTGGTATAACTAGACATAGACATAGACATAGACATGCATTTATTCAGCAACTTACATTCATACAGTTTTGATACAGAAAATAAAATAATACATAAAAACATCAAAGATAAAAGTAAATAACAAAAAACAGTCATAAAATGATCCAATTGCATGAGTGATGTGATGCTGAAAAGGGCACTGACTCAACATAATGCTATCGCAGGATTGCGGTAGCGTTGGTTTTCAGCAATGCCCATTGAGGTTGAACTCGCCTGCGAGGAATAGTATGTTCGCTTTATTTCTATTTTCGAGAAAGATGTTATCAAAATAATAAAATAAAATAATGGTAATGAAAATGAAAAAGGATGGGAACTTTATTTATGCAGTAGGTACATATAAATATATATAATAAATAATATAATGAGAATTTATAATAAAACAATATAGATATTTATATTATACTATGAAAATATAATATAATGCAGCTATTTTATCCGCCCTAAATGTTAACGTGACAAAAATATTCTTTTACTTTTACCTTGAAAAGGCTGATGGTATTTAGTTGGCGGATAGGTGGGGGCAAGTTGTTCCAGCATTTAGTAGCTGCATATCGGAAACTACCACGGAATGCTGCCGTTGTGTGTTTTGGTATAGAAAGGACATTTGATTTTGTTCGAATGTCCTTAAAATTACCGTCCTTGCGCCATTTTAGTTTTTCTAATAGATACCCGGGCTTTTTGTTTTGAAAGACACCGAACATTAGTGTTGCTAAATGTAGTTCTCTTAATTGGGACATTCTTAATAACTTTGATTTATTTAAATAGGGACTGACGTGCGTTCGTGTGGGAATGTGGTGTATATACCTGGCACAAGCATTTTGGATCCTCTGATTTATTCGGTCAGTTTTCGAAAGTAGCCTTGGTCTATATACCGTATCGGCATAGTTTAGCCTGGAGAGTACAAGGGAGTTGCAAAGCTTAATGCGCAGATCTTCACTCAAAAAGTCACGTATTCGGTATAATACTTTTAGTCTGTAAAAGCAATTACGTGCGATCTCGATCACGTGTCTCTCAAAGCGAAGCGCGTCATCCATAAGCAATCCCAGATTCTTAGCTTCAGTCACACGATTTATCTTCTCCCCGAGGACACACACATCAGGATTATTTGCAACTATTTGATTTATCTGTCGCTTTGATCCCAATACTATGTATTTTGATTTTGCTGGATTGAGTACAAGAGTGTTGGCTTCTGACCACTGGGCGATTTTCGTTAGATCTCTATTTAAGTTATTAACAGCCCAGTTAGTTTGACTTGGTACAAAGGAAAGATATACCTGCAAATCGTCTGCATACATATGATATTTACAGTTCTGAATAGCTGTACTAATATCTGCTATATACAGTATGAATAAAAGAGGGCCTAGTATGGATCCTTGTGGAACTCCTCTCGTTACAGGACAAGGACTTGATAGAGTATGTGTACCATCTTTTTTGATTATTTTAACCAACTGCATGCGATCATTTAGATAACTGGAGAACCACTTGATTGCGGTTGGATCGAATCCATAATAGGAAAACTTGGACAATAATAATTCGATGTTAAGAGACTCGAAAGCTCGTGAGAAATCAAGTAGTGTCATGATTGTTCCTTCACCTATATCTTGAGATGCTAAAATATTGTCCACTACGTCTAATAGTGCTGTTGTCGTGCTATGATGCTTTCTAAAACCAGACTGCAGTTTTGGTAGTATGTGATTACTCTCCAAGTACGCTTCAAGCTGTGTACATACTACTCTTTCCAGTATTTTCGACAAGCAGGGTAGGATGCTGATAGGGCGCAGGTCTTTGAAATTTATAATGCTATTGGTTTTTGGAATTGGTGTAACCAAAGCGGTTTTCCAGACGTCAGGGAAATAAGACGTGGTTATCGATCTGTTAACTATCGCGGTGATTACTTTTAGTGTGTAAGGAAGTGTTAAAACAACCATATCCAGGCATATGCCGTCAGCGCCCAAAGCGTTTGACTTAAGTGAATTAATTATTTTGGCTATTGTGTTTTCGTCTGTAACACTTAACTTAAATGTTGAAGAACAAAATCGATGGGAGCCAAAGAAAACATGTTCTGAATCGGGTGCTGAATCATTTCCAGGTATATTGCAAAAGTGAGAATTAATCAAATCCGGATCGTTGAGTTGGTCAGGAATTACATAGTCTCTAGATTTTTCTGATATGTTTATTGTCCGTTTAAGATTGATCCAAAGAGCTTTAGAATTAGTTAAATTGTGGTTTATATGTTGATTAAAATAGGCCTGTTTTTCGCGGTATAACGCTGAGTTTACAGCATGCTTAAGTTCTTTGTAATAACTTTTATGCTTCTCTAATCTAGTTAAGCGAAAACGATTATGTGCTTCATTCCGCAGTTTTATCATTTCTCGAATAGTAAAGGTAATCCATGGATATGTACGCTCTTTTACTTGCTTGAGCTTTAGTGGCGCGAATTGGTCAAACAGGCTTAACAATGTTAAATTGAATTGAGAAACCATATCATTTACATGAGGTAATTGGGCTATAGAATCCCAGTCGATACTTTCTATTTCGAAATTAAAACTATCACGATTTATGTCTTTCACTGGGCGATACATGAACTGAATTGGTTGACATTTTGGCTTATTGATTTTAAAGTTACATGTTAAGAAAGCATGATTACTTAGAGTTGGTATGTAATCGACGGTTACGTTAGAGATTGGTAGGTCGGTGCATATTAAATCAATTAATGTAGCACTGTAAGGAGTAAAGTGTGTAGGTTCATTTACATATTGGGTTAAATTTAGGTATTTTGTAAAATTGTCAAATTTATGAGTATTGTTGTCAGTTACCAGTAAATTTATATTAAAGTCACCCAAGAGCACAATATTATCGCGATGGGCAAAAGATGATACTGAATCAGTAAGTGCGTCAAAAAAAATGTCTACGTCAAGCCATGGTGGTCTATAAGCAGTACCTATTATCAGATTTATGCCGTTAACAGTTAAATTAAGCCACATTTGTTCAACTGATGGTGCAGCAGGAAATACACACGTTTTTACGGCGAGTCCATGACGTACATAGAATCCAACCCCACCACCACGTGCGCGCGTGGTACTTGAACGTGGAATATGACGCAAGCGGTAACCGGGGATAGATGGCGCGCGACCTTGTTCTCCATCACGTAGCCAGGTCTCATTTATAGCCATGATATCTACATCATGCTGCACCATTGCAACAATGAAGTCTTCATGCCTTGTACCCAAAGAACCCGGATTTAAAAAACCAACCTTCAGCTTTTGATTTTTTAGGCGCCATTTTGCACAGAGAGTATAATATATATCTGAACACAGGGACACGAACAACTTCAGTATATGCATATAAACATACGTACGCATACTTATACAAACACACTCACATACACACATATACACAAATAGGGCAGCACCGTAGCTATAGCTATAACCGTATAACAAATCAAATTTCGTGTTATCTAATATTTTTCTGAAAAGTTGAATATCATAATTTATATAGTTAGTGTAATTGAATATTGGTGTTATATAATAAATTAAATAGTTGTTTATGACATAAGTTATTATGATTGTGGCGGCGCTGTCGTCGCGCCACAAGCGAAATACACCGAAGCCTAAATTACGCTATCAAAATTCCGAATCATAAACAGCATATATAGAACATCTCCGAACTATCACACGGAGTGTTGGCCGCTCCCCGGGCAGAACACCTTGCCCGGCGGAAGATCTCCCCATTTTCCTTTCACGGCCACAGTGGTGACCCCGACGTGATCTGAACGCGCAATCAAAAAACCTTCGGAAACTACATGCTTCATAATCGTCATAGAATACCCCACCCATTCGCTCCCGAGCAGATATCATTTGCAGTCTTCATATCCTGCAAGCCATCTAGCTTCACAAGGTTCATCGCAGCACTGGAATAATAATGCTTCCTGTTCCTTCAAGCTACTCTCTGCGCCATACAGTGTTCGGCACGGCTCTGAGCCTTACTGCTCGCCTCTGCTTCACGGCACTCTCGCAGATTACTTGCCTTCTTCTCGACTCACCGCAGACTACAAGGCAATCTCCTGGCAGTGCACATTCGTCGACAACTCGACTGCACTATCGACCTCCGGTCTGAGCAGGGGGTGATGTGGCGGCGCTGTCGTCGCGCCACAAGCGAAATACACCGAAGCCTAAATTACGCTATCAAAATTCCGAATCATAAACAGCATATATAGAACATCTCCGAACTATCACACGGAGTGTTGGCCGCTCCCCGGGCAGAACACCTTGCCCGGCGGGAGATCTCCCCTTTTCCTTTCACGGCCACATGATAATATAGAATATTATAAAATATGGGCAAAAATAAAGAAAGCATTTTAAACCGGAAAATATAAAACGTATAACATGTATAATATACGTATATACATAATAATATGCATTATGTATCATCAGCGTCACAGCACTTACAAATAATTTGTTCAATAATGTTAAAAAGTGTAGTACAGTATTATTAAACGACATAAGCGGATACATGACAAAACGAGTAGGGCATAGACATATTAATCTAAAAATCATTTTCAAAAATTTTGTTAAATATGCAAGCACCAATAGTTTAAAAAATAGGTTCAGCAAACAGTTAAAAAAACAACAGAAAAGCAAAAGCTCCAAGTTTAGCCAACCACCGGTTCGCCAAAAAACTTTACAAGATCGATTTCACATCTTATTCTGCGTGCCTCCGTGTTCTGATCTCGTCGCGCGTAAATGCGACCGTCTCGTGTCCACACATATTTCCAACCGCTCTTAGAGCCCATTTGACGGGCCTTGAAGAATAACTGGCGATTTATACGGGTAAGACGCTCATTTATATAGAACTTCTTCGGCGAACCCGGCAGGCCAAAACCTGTAGTATCGGCACCGCGACGGACACGCGCGCTTTGTAACAGACGGTCGCGCAGCGTTCGGCGCGCCAAGCGCACAGCAAGTGGTCGTGGCTGAACAGCGCCTTCTCCTTCTATATAACCTCGCAGTGGACCCATTCGCTGGATGCTTACAATGTCCTGTTCTTCAATTTTCACATTTAATTTTTCACCAATAAGCATAACAAGTTGAGTCACGTTCTCACCCTTATGCTCAGGTATACAACTTATTTCTACATCAGTAAGGAGCTGTTCCTGATCACGATCGTTCAACTCGAACTTAAGACGCTCCAATGTGTCGCTTAGCTTTTTGTTCTCATCCTTATATTTTTCCATGCATTCGTCTTTTTCGAGATTAGCCACCCGATTCTCTATTCCATCAACTCGCTTACTTAAGTCGCTGACGGCAAGGTAAAGCCTGTCGAACTTTGTTCCAAAGTTTACAAATTCATTGCGCATAGCGACAATTTCCGTACGTAACTCCTCTATCATCTTACTTGTAGCATCACAGCCACTGCAACTAGAAGGTGATGAGTTCGAGGAACTACTCTGGCTTATTTCTGTTTGCACCTTAATCGGAGTCTCCGTATTATCTTTTCGTGGTTGTTTAGAAGTACAGCCCGGACAAAGCCATTTTGGAGATACTTTATAACTTTTGGATAACTTTAAACATATTCTGTCATAAATATTAGCACAACTGCTACATTTAATAATATCAGCCGGACTCACAAATTTCCCGCAAGCAGCGCACTTCGAAATTCTAGCGTTAATATTTTATAAGGAGTTCAAATTAAACGAAGTTATGAATGTCGATGACGTCAGTAGTGAGCACGAAGTCGAGCGTAATTTTGTAGTGCGCTTAAGCAACTCTTTAGCGCGTTTAGTACAGCGGTTATTCACGATCAAAACGAACGGGGTTCGAGACTCTCGAATGTATGTACCCTCAAGTTATCACTTTTTCGACTTAGGAACTGCGCAAACATGTACTATTTCACTCTAAAACATCCCACTGGGCGGAGTTAGTCCATATATACTGCACTAGAGTAATAAGGAATAAAAGGGTAAAAATGAAACTTGATAAATTGGCCAATCACAAATTTTTAAGAACAAATTTTGATAACAGAATTTGTAGCAACTAGACACACGAACGTATTCCACGCAGGCGCGGCACAAACCTAACTCGCCCTATCCTTCGCGACTCAAACGGGGCCGCACCGTTGATGCGGTGGTGGTGGGGCTGCGGGGGGAGAGGATTGTCGGTATTGCGAGGCGCCGCTCTCCCTACCCTCCGCAGCCGAATCTTGGTTGGCGGCGGAGCCATAGACCAGATCCGCCGGTGGGGTCGGGAAGGCTAGTACTTCTAAGTGCTCGTTTTTCCTGGCCCCATGGCCTTTGTGCATCGGACGCGGGGGCGTCTGTTGCACAGACGTAGTTGGAGGCCGTGGAGGAAGGCGCGCCATGTGTTTTGGTGCGCCTTACCTGGGAAGGAGAACGGGGAGGAGTTTTCCTCTCCCGAGGAGGTGCTGCCATGGGGCGGCAGGCGCTAGTAGGGCCGCGGATGTGTGCGAAAGCGTTCCCGTAGCCCTGCCAATATGCGACAAAGGTGGAACACCATGGGGTGCGAGGCGGGTATGCGTAGGCATTTCCCCATGCAAAAAAAAAAAGGGTTGTTTAACAATATTTCAAAGGAATATTAATTGTATAGATAGTGTATACGGTACCTATACACTTACTTCTTTTTTAGTTGGTTATATTTATATTGACTACTGCTTTCGATTTCGGTTTTCTGCGATTTGTTTTGTGATTTGGTTTAAGTTGATTCGATTTTTTTTGGCTATCGTTTTCGGATTCGTGTTGTGTCTTGAATTGGTTTTATTGTTTTGATTTTAAAAAATATTTAAAAGGAATATTTATTCCTTTTAGATATTTTGGATTTGCTTTTAAAAAAATATTTAAAAGGAAATTTAATTCCTTTTAGGTATTTTAACGTTTTTTTTAAATAGATTTTTTGTTACTTCATAATGCCTTGCAAACGTAAGTCCTGCCTTTCAAGAGTATCTTCTCAAAGACAAGCGAAAAGATTGGCTGGCGTATCGCTAGAATATTTAGAAGATGCTAAACTGAGAAGGCAAGAACAAGCAGAGCGTCAGGCTTAGAGCATCTGAGACACCTTCTCAACGTCAGCAAAGGCGTCTTGAATAGAAAGAACATCAGGCTGCTTTAAGAGCTTCCGAAACACCTTCTCAAAGTCAGGAAAGTCGTCTTGAACATGCAGAGCGTCACGCTTCTTTTTGAGCTTCTGATACACTTTATCAACGTCAGCAAAGGCGTCTTGAACAGACAGAGCGTCAGTCTACTTTAAGAGCTACTGAAACACCTGCTCAAAGTCAGCAAAGGCTATTCGAACAATCGGAACGTCAGGCCGCCTTAAAAGCCGCGGAAACACCTGATGAAACTCAACACAGACTCATTGAGCAAGCTAAACGTCAATCTACTATAAGGGCATCTGAAACACCAGAACAGACACAGGCGCGAAGAGATGCAAATGCACAGCTCCAAGCTGAACGTCGACAAAATTTTCAAATAAACAATTGTTCGGTTTTCAATGACGCAGCATTCAATTATGATCCGTCGATTGATTATAAAAATCACAGGTTAGTTTTTATCGGACTGAAGGACAAGGCGTGTCGATTTTGCAGCGCTTTAAAATGGAAAGATGAGACCGCAGGCATGTGCTGTTCCAATGGCAAAGTGTCTCTTCCGTTACTTGGGGAACTAGAAGAACCTTTGAAAATTCTCTTTTTATATGATGCTAATGAGTCACGGCGCTTTTAAAACAGGATCCGGAAATATAACTCATGCTTTCAAATGACGTCCTTCGGAGTTGACCGGGAAATAATAATGCCGGGATTTTCGCCTACATTTACGGTGCAAGGGCAAATTTATCATAGAATAGGTTCACTTTTTCCAGCTGAAAACGAACAGCATAAATTTTTACAAGTGTATTTTATGGGTGACGAAGAAATTGAGGTAAACCGTCGCTGCCAATTTATCCAGGGAGTTGAGAGAGACACAGTGTTCAAAATTCAAAGATTCTTGCATGAACGTAACATTTTAGTCAAAACATTTAAAACTGCTTTAGAAAACCTACCTGAAGAGGATTATAAAGTCGTCATTCACGCAGATCGGACCCCTCGAGGAGAGCATGAAAGGCGCTACAATGCACCTTTGATAAACGAAATAGGAGCCGTAATTAGTGGTGATCAATTTTCTTCACGAGACATTGTCTTGCGAGCACGTGATGATACGTTGCAACGGTTAGCCGATAGACACAAGTTTTATAACGCTCTGCAATACCCATTGATTTATTGCAAAGGACAAGAGGGTTATCATTTTCAAATTCCACTCACTAACCCGGTCACAAAGGAGCCTACTCCGAACAAAAAAGTATCATGTATGGATTTTTATGCGTATCATATTATGTTGCGAGAAAATGATTTTAACCTCTTAGCACGGTGTAGACTGTATGTGAAGGTAGAAAGTGAACGTCTTCGTTATATATCTTTAAATCAAAAAAAAGCTGCGCGTTGAGAATTATATACATTTACAAGATGCAGTTTCTAGCGACGCCAATGTAAACCCCAGAGATTTAGGTAAAATGGTAATTCTGCCCTCATCATTCGTTAACAGTCCCCGCTACCTACATGAGTACACACAAGACGTATTCGCCTATGTACGAACTTACGGAAGACCTGATCTTTTTGTTACTTTTACTTGCAATCCCACATGGAAAGAAATAACCGAGGAGCTAATGCCGGGCCAAAAAGTGCTGACAGACACGATTTAGTATTATATATTATTTAGAGTATTTTGATTAAAAGTACAAAAATTAATGTATGTAATTAACAAAGGGAAAATTTTCGGAGAGGTGCAGTGCTTCATGTGTTCAATTGAATGGCAAAAAAAGAGGATTACCGCATGCCTATATTCTAATATGGCTTAAAGAGAAGTTGCGACCCAGCCAAATAGTACATAATAAGCGCCGAGATTCCGGATCCTGAGCAAGATAAAGAATTTATGATACCATCGTCCGAAATATGATTCACGGTTCATGTGGAGCATGAAATTCAATATCGCCATGTATGAAAAAAGGAAAATGTACAAAGAAATACCCTAAACAGCTATTAAAAGAAACAGTGCACAATGTCAATGGCTACCATTTATACAGACGCAGAGCTCCCGAAGATGGTGGCAGGAAAGTTACAATCAAATCTCGCTCTGGAGCGTTCGAAACCTTAGATAACAGCTGGATTGTCCCGTATTCGCCCATTCTATGTAAAATTTTTAATGCCCACATTAATGTAGAAGCATGTATCTCTGTCCGCGCAATCAAGTATATCTGTAAGTACATAAATAAAGGAAGCGACCAAGTAATATTTAATCTCAGGAGTGAAGGTGAGGCAAATCCCGTTAATGAAGTACAGACCTTTCAAGCAGGGCGTTATGTCAGCAGTAACGAGGCAGCGTGGCGTCTCCTTGGCTTCCCTTTACACGAAAGACACCCAACAGTTACTCACCTTGCTGTGCACTTAGAAAATGGAGAGAGTGTATATTTCACCGAAAGAAATTTCCAAGAAAGAATTGCATCACCGCCAAAAACTACACTAACAGCCTTCTTTCAACTTTGTCAAACCGACCCCTTTGCAAAAACATTGTTATATTCTGAAGTCCCCCGCTATTATACTTGGAACACATCTAGGAAGGAGTGGAAACGCCGTATTCAAGGCGCGCCTGTTGCAAATTGGCCCGGTGTAAAGACATCAGATGCCCTTGGTCGTGTGTATACCGTCCATGTAACTAATTTTGAATGTTTCTGTTTACGATTACTGCTGCACCATGTTCGGGGTCCTACAGGATATAAATACCTTAAAACTGTCAACGTTCAGGAATGCACAACTTATAGAGAAGCATGTGAAGCTCTGCATCTTTTAGTAAACGATAATCACTGGGATGAAACCATGGAGGAAGCTGTGCAGTGTCAGTCACCAGGGAATTAGGGATCTTTATGCAACTCTCATTTCATCTTGTGGGCTATATAATGCACAAAAATATTGGGACAAATATAAAGAGTACATGGCGGATGATATTTTGCGAAGGTTACAGCAGACACACGCGAACATGACATACAATGAACACGTTTATAATGAAGCACTTGGAAAAATTGAAGATAAAGTAATGGCAATGGTAGGCAAAAAATTAAGCGACTTTGGGATGATAAGCCCTCAGCGAACAACCGAAAATGAACTAAGTGATGAAATTATACGTGAAACAAACTACGATATACCAGCTTTGCAGCAGCAAGTAGCCGAATTTATACCCCGCTTGCTTCCCGAACAAAAAAGAGTTTTTGACAAAGTATTAGGACAAATTGAATCTGGAAATGGTGTACTTTTCTTTTTAGATGCCCCTGGAGGAACTTGGAAGACACTTTT